GTAAGTAGTTATTATAGAATAGCTACACTTTAAAAGAGTACCCTTAGAATATAAAGAAAATGTTATTCGAGACCTGACTATATTTAGAGAATGTGTGAACACTGAGAATATTTGGTGAATATGTAGATATGATATGCAATTGAATATTTTTTTATGTCAAAAACTGCCCTGGTAATGCTCTATTAGGGGCTTCTCACACTGGCTAGAAAAGAACTACAAGGAAAGAATTATGGTATTAAATATGTTCACTTCATTTTTTGTTTCCCCCAAGAATCTCAAACACCCAAGGAAGTCGACTGTGGATAGTATTTTATCTCTTGTAGCTGTGGGAAATGAAAGGATAGAACAGTGAATTGGATTTGTCTGAAAGCTTCTGGAGCCAGGAGGCACATGGGATAGTGCTCAGGTGTCTTTTTACAGGTATCATTCAATAGTTAGGTCACATAAGAGTATGTTTCTCTACTATGAGATTTTGCTTTCCACTTGTGAGTGGTGTAGTTGAAGAAAAACTTTATGAAGACTTAGGTCTTGGTCTAAACCCCAAGAAGGGGGAGAGTAAGAGGTAATAAACAACACTTAGAAATACCTCGTACCTTAGAAATCTTTTCTTTTTCCTTCAGAGTGTGTCAAAAAATGTAGTCTGTGTTGTCATTTTTACTGTAGTCTATTAGTGTACTTTGACAAAAACATCAGGAAGAGAGACTTAAGATAATTCTTCACAGGTATATTGATGGTTTTTGTGTTTTGTGTGGTTTGGGTCTTTTAAAAAAAAGTCTAAACTTTATTTACCTACTCAATTGTTTACTTTGCAGATCATAGAGAATATGCAGTCATGCAGAAAGTACCTGTTTGTCACTGTGAGAGTTCAGACATGAACTGTACCCAGTGGCCCATTAAGTACCTTCTCTTGTTTAAAGCATAGTCTAGCTTTGCAAAATAATTGTTAATGCAGAATGTTGTAACTGAGCCAAGGAATGAAATTCCTTTAACTCCAGTCAGAGTAGAGGCTGTGTCAAGTACGCTGAATTGTGTTCCATTGTTTTGTGATTCTGTACACTGTAAGTCTTGCCTAGAGTGTCATTAAGAATTGGGAAGTCAAGAAATAGCATAGTTTGCTTTGCATGTGTATGTGATTTTTCATTTAGAGTTATATTGTAATACTTTCGGGAAATAAAGTTTGTTTGTTTGTTTTCAGAAAAAAGTTGCTTGCCAAAATGCCCAGAAAAGATTTCTACAAGAAAGCATTTGACTTTTTTCTTTGCTGTAAAAAAAAATGATAGCCATTTTTTACACATACTACATTTAATGAAATAGAGGACATCCTTGTAATAGTGATACAGTAGGACGATGTGTGCACCATAGGTTAACAGTCCAATTTCGAGAGGTAATTCACTATGAGATACAGTAATTTTTAATTTTATCTTTAAAAGACAGGGCTAAATTTTAATTTAGGAGGTACTTATATGAAAATTTCAGGAGTAGCTCTAAAAACCAATTAAGAAGGATTTTCATCTTAAGGGTTTATATGCCTGATGTGAGATGATTATAAATGTTCTAAATTCTTTTTATTTCTCTGGTTTTTACCTCTCACATACTGTATTAATGGTGGTCTGTGTGGAAAAAAAAAGTTGCAGCAGAATTTCCCTTTCTTCTTCTTTTTTCTTACTCTTATGTTTATTTATTTTATTTATTTTTTCTTACTAATGTTTATTGAATGCCTGAATAGCCCAAATCTAGTACATGTCACAGCAAGTTAGTGGGTATGATTGAAGGTATCACGAATCATTGTTGACTGAAGAGACTTAAAATATTGTACTATTTTACTGGTAATTTTCCAATAGAAAAACTCTTGGGATGAAATAGAACTTGAAAGAGAGGTGTGTATGTTTGTTGGCGGGTAGGAAAGGCAGGGGTTTGTGGGATTTTAGAGGGAGTGAGCGTGTATGGTAATAGCCTAAGTGAATAGACATTTTGTTAATACTAAACAAACAAAAAAGCTTTGAACTTGTGAATATTTGTGTGAATAGACCAGTGAGAACATAGTTAATGAAATCCCTAACATTAAAAATAACAATGTAAATTGCGAATGTAAGTTATCTTCTAGCAAACAACTTTACCTGCCTGTAATTTTAATTTTACCTTTAATTTCTTAGTGGAAGATTTTGACAGTGATAGTTTAAGTTATTATTTGGGACAGAAACTTTACTCCCTTCTCTACTTCTCACCTACCTCAGAGAATGCCAAGGGCTGGAGACATTTATATACAGCAGATAACAGGGAGATTATACAGGGAGAAGAGCTCACATTTAATGAGCACTTATTTTGTGTCAGCCACTGTCCTCAGCACTTTAAATAGTGAACCCTGTTTAACCCTCACAACAACCCTGCAAGGGAGAGAAACTTATCCTCGTCCCATATATTTATAAATATATTATTTATATTTATATATATATGTATTATATATTATTTATTAAATATATTATTTATAAATATATCATAAATATGTTATTTATAAATATATCATTACAAATCATTAAAAATAAGTAATAATCTAAATTACTACTGAAATAAATATACTGACATTATTATAGATGATGAATTGATGCAAAGAGCACACATGTGACTGAATTAGCCAACCAATGATACCTGGCTGAATTGGGATTTGAGCCATGGCAGTTTAATGTCATGGTGTATTCTTTAAACTACTACACTAAATTGCTCCTAGAACCTAACACCTGAATTCCAGAAGATGTGAAGGTTAATTGAGCCAGAAGATTTGATGCGTGTAGCTTCTTATTTTCACAGTTGAAAAACTGTGGCTTGTAGAAGGTGGGTTAAACTGTTCAGAGTTACAACACTAGGTCAGAGTCGGAGCTGGAGGCAAACTCCGGGCTGCCTGGCACCAAGCTCCACACTTTCTTCCGTGAATCCACAGGCTATAGTTTACTTTGATCACAATCACATGCAATCCCATTTCAACCACCTATGACAGACTGACACGTTTATTTTTGAAGGCTCAACCCAGTGCTTAGGTAGGGAAGCACATTCCTAAGTTATAAGGAGGACCTGGTGAAAGAAGATCATCCAGGTGTGAAATGGGAGTTCAGAGCTTGTTTTCTTGGTTTATTCATGCTCAGTTGTGTGTGCTCAATGATCATTAAGGTGTTTTAAGTGTCTTCACTGGGTTATAATAACATGGGGTTTTTTTCTCTCTCTCTCTTTCAGGTATGGAAAAATTGTATCCACAAAGGCAATTCTTGACAAAAACACAAATCAGTGCAAAGGTATGTGTCACAGCATCTGTACCCTGAGTTCTTGCCTATGCTGTTTGATTGATGGCTTCTCCATTGCAGAGGTCTGGGCACCAGCGGCATAATGAACATAATGTACAG